AGAAAAAAGGACTTTAAGGTGCAAGATCAAGTTTTAACTTTTGTTTTTCAGCATCTTTACAGGTGAGATACCGGGCTAGAAATGGCAGTATGGAATTCTGATAAGCCGAAGTGCGACAAGGGATGTGGCGAAAGCATCGACGCATGGGGCGTAAGGATTTCGCAGCCATTAACTCATTATGAAGGGGATGGGCGGTGTCATTCAGAATTCGGTCGGAAAATTGCTCCACCGTATTGAAGTGTCGCTGCACGATGATATCAACTAAAACATGATAGGAAACACCAGCAGCAGAGGCGAGCATTCGAATGACACGTTTAAAAATAATTAGATCTTTTTTAGGTAAAGCTGGAAAAATAACTGGAGAACAATAAAGAATGAGTGGAAGAATACAGCCATCTATAAATCGCCAGATTAAGGCATGTTTAACCCTGTGAAGCCATCCTTAACATAGCCTGCAACAGGAGACAATAATTCGTGCAGCTTTTACGCACGCATAATGCTCGGCTGATCTACTTCCGTAAATTAGAAAAACATGTATATGTTAATGTGCACATGTCAACCCATCATGTATGTAGAAGATTAAGCAAATATTCATCAGTCAGAGAAGGAAATGGAATTTGTTTCATTTAAAACTGCGATATTACAGCCATAATCTACCTCACATGAGGAGTTGCAGTAAATTTTTGTAAACCACCGAGACATGTCAGCCATACATCTCCAGATGCAGCACCTTTCTTATGTTAAAATTGTATCCAATATTTTTTTTCGATTTACCCGACTGCTACTTTGGAGACTTGAGGCTGACAAGATATCATTTGCCTGATTCTCTATGACACATTTCCACGTGGAGTTTTCAATCCAGCTGGATACAGCGCTGCAGCCTACATGAAAAGTCAGCCTTCTTTAAGAGTCAGCACAGGCATCGCTTGGGATTTTATAGACGATCTTCTTTTTACCTGCGTAATTCGAGATAAATAAAGTGCTCGCCAAATAAAGGGAATATCTCAAACGTTTGATTTTGTTAAGTACGGTTTTAGTAAAATGTAATACCTCAGGCAGCACGAAGCGTCTGTATTAGTTTATCTGTCCACTTGAAGGATATTTATCCCATTATTATTTTTGTTTTGATAAGAAGGACGTCCTGTATAAGTTCCCATGCGATGCCTGTGCTGCCGTTTATTGTGGTCAAACGGGACTATGTACCTCTACACAAATCCACAAACATCAACTGGCAGTTATGAGACGAAACCTCATGTCTCAAATGACCATGCACAACTAGACTCGTAAGCCTGTTGTTATTAGCAGATGCTCGACTTTCAGTGTTAACTAGCAGAGCGGTGGTTGCTCACCGGTTGCACCGGTGGCAAGTGACGTCTTAAGGATCAGGGCCGGCGGCTTGACACTTACGGAAGCTATATCCTTTAACAGTTTGGCTGAGATTTCGTCGATGTTAGGCATGCCATCTTATGAAAACTTTTGATCCTACGATGTCCCCATCGGCGAAATAAAGCAAAATCCAGTTTCTCTTGTTGAACCTCATCTGACTTAACTCTAAAAAGTAGAGGAACTTATGGAACACTGGAAAACTGTTTTGGAATCTACACCCAGAATGTAGGCAGTTGAAAAGCCGTCATATATGAAGTCACACTACTTATTAGACGATATTTAGATGTAAACGTCATTAAAACATTGTTAATAGACGTTATTTTATGTCCACTTCATATTTACTACGTGTTTGGTATGAGAATACATTCTATACATCTAAAAACGGACTTTACTTAATTAGAGCCATTTCTGACGTTTTCGGTATATTGCGCTTTTCAAAACAAATCGGAATTTCTAAACAACGCAACACTGTCCTTAATGTTTCTTTTATGTTTTTAATTCACTTAAACTTGTAATTAATAAACATAAAAATCGGACTCATGAAATGGTGTCGGTTTGCGACTGACTGGCAATCATTCATAAATTTCGACACAATTCATGAGTTAGGTCGCAAACTTTATGCCAGATTCTTCAAGTCCAGCTACTCTCCCTGAACCTTTCCTTCGAGGAGGAGGATAGTTTTGATGGCAAACACTTTTTCGGCATCATAAGTGGGTAGAAGAGTGTTGGATTTGCTTGCCAAAACGAATCCAAAAAGAAATCAGAGAGATGTGTTGTCTTATTCTTGGCCTCTAAGACTTCTGTACCTTCGGCAATTCATAAAAGTGGTATAGGTGCTTCATTCCGCCTGCTTGCTCATTAATAAGGTAACTGTTCTACATTTCCTTCTTCTTGGTTACATATTTCTTTTAGGAGAGAGTCGGACAACAAGTCCTGTTAGCTAGTCTTTTTCACGTGATTTTACAGCGGCTGGAGAGGAGATTGTGAAGCATCACTTTAAACTGACCCCAAACCTAGTGGATATCGCCAGGGAATGCGGATTCGCCGTCAATAAGACGAAGTTCACGCCTCAACAAACTTAAATTATTTGTTTGGAAACCGGGCAGCTGGTCAAGCAACATGAATAGGGTGAACATTACATTGTCGTTCTGACCTAATTGAGTAAGCCATTCATGGTATCGATGTTGCCAGGTGGCTTAGTGAACATAAGGTCGAGACTGTTCATTGAGTCGGGAGCTTTGCCTTCTGAGTGAGAAGCGAATGACCAGTAGTATGCAGAAGCTGTTGGTCGAATGATGTCTTGCATTATTCGGTATGGATCGTGTTTCAGTCGACACAGTCATCTGACCTCGCTGAGAACGGATCCCCAAGGGTATCTTAACATCAGACGAAATTCTAACTTGCAAGAGACACAAGGTAGAAAACAAACAAACATACGCTAACCCCAGAAGCGTCTAGGACTTTTCAGTCCTTTGCATAACGTTATCCATCTTCGCTATCTCAGGAAATTATTCTTTCTTACTCGCATGCCCATCGCTTAGAGAACAGCATATTATGCTCAACCACTCTTATTAGGACCCACCGACGCATGCTATGCGTGAACACTCGTCTGAATCAGTCGGTTGGTATCAGTGACTGATCGATCTTATTAAATTTTAGCGGACATTCTGCAATGCGTTTTCGAGAAAGGAATACTTCTTAATTGACGTTATAGTATTGGTTATTTTGTGGCCTAATTCTGTGATATTTCAGACACACCAGAGTGTTAACTTTTGAATGTGCTTCTTTGAGGACACTTTCAAAAATCGCATTGGACGAAAAAATGAGCCATTGTGTAGTATGAGTCTTTTCTGTCGATTTCTGAAGCTGTTGTAAGTTCAAATTGTTTAAAATAAAACATGCAAAAAATATATTGTCTGGATTCTTTCGGAAGAAAATCACACTTCGGTCAGATTTTGTATTTGGAGAAAAAATATGTTTTCATATTCAAAAGTTTCTTATTATGAGATTTTTTAAGACCGTACAAGGTCTATTTGAGCAGCACTCATTCTGGCTGTTTAACAATGCTCTTTATTAGACATGCAGCATAGTGCACATTCTTTGCAACATTTAATGTGAAATGTATAATATTTTCTTGGCAGCATAGAGAAATCCATTTTTTTCTTATATGAAATCATACTGCTTGAAAGTTTTGCGACAACAGATCGATCTCAAAATTACTCGGCAATTGGAAAACTTTAAAACGAAAGATGCGGCTTAACCAAGTAAAAAAATTGAAGCAGACATGGTCCGTTACCAAGTGATTACGAAAATTAATATTTTCTGGAGGTTTTTGTGAAATATATCCAGAGGAGCACAGAGAATCGATGGAGAAAATACGTACTACATAAGTGATCATTTTGCAATGTGTACATTTTTTACAGACGGTCGACAAGAAATGCATTTGGAAGCCAACACCGTGACATGTTTAAAATGTTGTTGGATTATGTTGGCAGATAGACAACGTTACGACCTCACTTAAGTAATTCTTCCTAAGTCAGAATGCACTCCAAAACTTTGGTCAACATCTTGTGCGATCGGTCACTGAGTGTCTATTACGTTGCGTCCACCTCTCTTAACTGAAAAAAACGAATGCCACAAAAATTAAAAACTTTATCTTGGATAACTTTACCGCAGACTGCTACCTGAAATGTCGGAGATTTGCACTTTGTCAGCTCACAGTAACTACTCTGCTACCGATTACGGAACGATCGTTTGTTTAATGTGTGTCGATGTGTCGACCACTTGTTAACAATGACCGCTAGATTCAGCACATGTCCAGTTAGTCACGTTTCGACCTGCTTTCTCGTGATGAAAGTCACCATGAATAGACAATTACTTAGACAACTTCCGCATATGTTGCAGTCACAGCATCTTGAAGACTCGGCTGCCTTTGTCGCAGTTATGTTCGTATGCTGACTCAATAAAATAATTATATATCGGCCATCGCAAACGATGACAAGCACATTAATTAGTCTATAATTATAGTAAACTTGTGATTTATCAACCGTTTTTTTTTCTCCATTCAGCCGTATAAAACCCTGTGTCAAGACATATTGCAGAAAGCAGGAGGCAGATTCGGGGACACGGGCTGGCCACGATAGACACCCTGTCTACGTGTCGGACACACGCTTTCTACGCGCAAAATGAACCCCCTTTTCATACCAAGAAAAGAGGCGCGGCTCGGATTCCATCTGAGCGTTAGTGTCATAGAGGCAACGGAAAGTCGTAGTCGTTGCAACCTGACTCTCTGTACTTAGAGGAGGATGGAGTTATCTCACCAGATGGCAGCATTTAAGGTCTAGGTTTTTAGCGCATTGTGATAGTTTAAAAGCGCGTCATATTGTTCATTGTAAGGAATATGCGTTGAGTGTCGTGAGAACTGAGCCTCCTAGAACCGACCTCACCATCTCTTTCGTCCCCTAGGCGTCAGTCCGCTACCTCAGCCAGTCAGATAGCTGGTACGGGGGCTAGACGCAGTGCCCGTCTAAGCTTGCCAAACATGACCACCGCCCCTCCCCCACTCCCCACCCCCAACCCCCGCAGCACACAAGGATTTTACAAAAAGTGGGGGACTACTCGGGTTCAGTCTCGGATGCCTGTGAACCCCCCTTAGTGGGGATATTAAGAAGGAAGATGTCCGTAGTTTTGACATTGATATGAGGTGGGCAATAATCCGCGTTGGGTGAGGGTTGGTGCATGATCACCGTTTTGTCCATGCTAATGGTCAGTTCAGAGTTGGCGCAGCCGGCGGCAAAGAGATCCAGGTTCCGTTGCATGTCTCCTTCCGTCGTGGTGTTGACCGCGCAGCCGTCGGAGAAGAGCAGATCGTTGACAGTGGTCGTAGAAGCCGCGTCGTAGCCTGCATGCGCCTGTGGTCAAAAAGATGCCCTTCGGCTCTGTGGGCAATGCGTATCCCAGGACGCACACCACAGTAAGTGCGCAACTGTGCTTCATTCCACTGGTCAAAGCGAAGGCCTCGGAGATGGTGCCGTTGTCCATAACGCGTGCCACCATTCGGACGCGGAGCTAACGGACCATATGGGTGAATCGCTCAGGATAGCCGACTTTCTGTTTGATTCCCCACAGTCACCCACGATTCACCACTTCGAAGGTCCTCGGCAAGTTCAAGTAGATAGTGCAGAGTTGGGTTCGCATCTCCTAGCACTTCCGGTGTAGCTGGCAATCAACAAAGACCATATCAGTGGCCCTACGGTGCTGTTAAAAGCCACATTGTCTTTCCAGCGGTAGTCTTTGCTCGAGGTATCTGTTGACTTGATTGACGGAAAGATCTCCCCAGGGATGTTGAGTAGCGAGATTCCCCTGCGACTGTCACGCAGTTGCCGGTTCCCTATGTAGTTGTAGGGATGAACGACAGTCGCGTCTGTGGAATTCTGATAGGCCTGACCTTTTCACCACATCTCCTAAAAGAGTGCTGTGATGTGATCCATCTGGCGGTGTCCACCGTGCTTGTAGATTTCAAATGGGGTCGTATCAGAGCCTCGTGTCCGGAGTTGGACTATCACCATGTGTGCAACCTTTGCCCACTGGTCATTGCCTACCTGCCAGCCGAGTGACCTGTAAAGCAACGCCTAGGATTGTCCGTTTCATCCTACAGTATTTAAAAATCTTTTAAGGCCTTGTCCTCACAATAAGTTTCTTGCTTTGTTTGTAAATTGACAGTTTGCCAAGGCAAAATAAGCTCACGAAGGCGCCAACTGAAAACACAGGTATCGAATGGCTACGTATCTACATCCCGCACATGCTCTCGTGCCTAGACGCGCACTCACACGAACAAGTAAAAACATTCCTCAGTCAGGGTCGCTTTACTAGACAGATGTGGCAGTTTGGGATACGACTTGATTAAAACGCAGCTTATCCAGTCGGTCGGAAACCTTAAAGGTCATGACATATATTGCGGTGCGATAGTTTATAGTATGTCTGGGAGGAATTTGATACATACTCTCTGCTGCATTCCCTACCAGAGTCCATTCTGATATCAGGCGCATTTCTTGGCGGAATCCCACATCCCCATCTAACGTTCATCACACGCGATCATCCAGAAAAGACGTATTTCACCCAATTAGCGATATTGGCAGACGTAGGTGCGATATTGTTTCATGGGCGACAGATGAGTGAGCGCTAATCATGTGATTGAGACCGCCACAAGAAGATATTGCATGGAGGTGGGATTTTTAATCTCAGATGCTCCTATGAAAATGCGGGCACTTTTCTAAGACTTATCTTCGAAAATAGAGAAGAGGCTTAAATGCCCAAAGGATCAGTTAGTGCATCAACTGATTTCTGTCGCACCTCATTCACTCCGTCCATTAAATATCTTGTATTAATACAAGACTCGAGAATACGATATCAGAAACTGCTATTCGAAATATAAAAACATCGTGAAAAAAGGCACACTTATTTAGACAGATTATGAGAGCTTCCATAACAACGGTGTTAGGTAATTTCCTAAAAACAGATTAAGTAGCTGAAATTTACTAATATGCTTGTTTAGCACAAACTTTATGAAGTGGCACTGTTTAATTTCAGTTTGCATCGCTCAGATACAATAAACAATGCAAATCTCAACTCAGTAGTTTTAAAAAAATACACGCCTTGCTTATTTACGGAACGTAAGACAATGACGCATGGAGTGTATGATGATGATGATGACAGTGGTGGTGGGCGTAACTGTATATTAGATATTTCGACTACACTCACCCTTGATCGGTTTCACCCGATCCGACCAGACTGTGAACACTAAAAACACTTGTAATATGCTGCTGGAAGTGAGATATAATCTTCCTTTACCAATGGACTTTTAAATGGTGAAAACGAATTGGCCTGGAGACACAAGAGACGTCAACTAGTCAATATTGAAGCCAATGTTACATTGCATCAGTGCGTATTTGGCGTGCACAAAAGTCATTCAGACCCACGAGTTAATGACGGCATAGATAATGTCCAACGCCTGCCCCGCCTACTCCTTGAAATCTTCCTATAATTATCTAAATACAAGATTGGCCGTGCCAAACTTGATTCAAAACCAGAAACATGTACGACTATTCTACTATGTATTTACGCCTATTTCTACTGCATTATGCTGACTACATGAGATGAAGTCAATAGAGAAAGATTTAAAAATCCGCGGAGATTTTTGAGTCGACATCGTCGCTATCGACCATAGCAATGTTGAGCTTCAACTCCCTCATCCTTCTGCGTCGACGAATAAGCAGGATTGAGACGCCGATCGCCAACGCCAAAAGGGAGAGAATCCCAAAGACTGTGACTGTGATTGCCGCTGGTGGAAGGCCCTCCTCTTGGAGAGTCCCTAAAAAAGCCATCATTTTACCAATTGGGATCATACAAAGATGTTACGTCGACTACACAAATGGCGTGTGAATGCATCGTTGGGCATTCTTTCACGAGGTAAGCATTTAACCTATGAGAGCTTAACAACTAGACGGGATTGAGACTTTGAGAAACTTTCAGAAATCAGCATTCAGAATGCGCTTCATATTCTAAATGACAACCGAGGCCAAAATCCGTTGACATTCAGTCCTGTGAAGAAGTAAATTTAAAGACGTCCGGTTATTTGAAGCCTAATGGTCGTCATTTATTGTAAACATATGTAATTTGAATCGAATGCAATCAGACGTTTGGACTTCGTTTTTTGTGTACTCTCAGCTGAATTTGAAAAACTGTGAGAATGTGATTTGCCTGGGCATTCGACAGCTCACGCATGTAAATCACTCGCTGGACATTGTTAATAAAACAAGCGTTTATGCTCTGTCCACTTAAGCGAAATCAGAGCTCCTGCGAAGTAAGAATTTTTGTCCGTACTCATTGTTTAGAAGATCGTTGTCTATGCTGTCTGTCTTCACGAGGACGAAACGACGATTAAATGCAGACAGTTAATACTTCCCTTTGCTTTGCGTTGATTGCGGAAGCCTGCGTTATTGCGGTAAGGTGGAGAGACAGATAAATGTAACACATACAGTTTCATGCTTACCAAGACTCAATTGCGTTTGACGTTCCACCATTTTGGTCTCAATATATTCTGACTTTGTGAGCCTGCGGATGGAGTCACTAAAACAAAATGGAAAGTTCACCAGTCAGGATATAAAAGTGCGCGAAACAGATGCTCAAGTGTTACATACTTATGACTCGAGTCGGGCCTTAGGGCTTCACTAGACATGCGATTCAATGAAGGCTCTCCCACATCGACGACAGAGAAAGAGGAGATGTAGGAAGTACCATGGTAAGCTAGTATAGAAGCAACTGCGAGGCCTAAGATGGCAATTGCTGTCTGCCAAACGGCTTCTTCTTGCACGATTTCTAAAATGACGAGCAAAGTGTGAAATTAGATTTCCGACAGTTGCCACTCGCAATGCTCAAAAGCAGAGTTAGCATGTGAATATCCAATAACAATCTAAAAGCGTAGCAGATGAATATGTGCAAAGAGTGGATTTGAAAGTGAAATAACTCATGGGGTTCATAAAATAAAGCCATGGATTTGGTTCATATTGCAAACGTCACAAGCAACATTAGTAAATACAGAGACATGATGTTATATTAACGGGCATATCGAGGTCTAAAAAGTCTCACGATTAGAAACGTTCCAAAAATTGGATTATATCCCCCTTTTAAGTACATAATTTTAAAAAGACGTAGTTATTTTCCAAATGAGAAAAAAGTTAATGTCTTTATACACTTTTTCTATGAAATATATTTTAATCTATAAGGACACTGAGCATAAAGGAGAAAAAATCCACACTACGTTAGTAGTCAGTTTTTACAGAATTTGGTTTTTGCAGGCGGCCAGATTAAAGCTTGTTTAAAAGTCGACATCGCGAAGTAACTGAAATATCCTGGACGGTTACTAATATTGCAGCCCTACTTAAGTAGTCTTCTGGAGTCTGAAACCTATTTGGGAATTTCAGAAAACATTTCATGAGTTGACACATCCACTTTAAGTTCAGATCGGAGCAGAAAACTAAAAAATACAAAGCCAACCGAACTATCTTTGGATTATGCTGCACAACCTTTTTGTCATTATTCTTCTCCAGACGAAAATGCATTTGAAAATTTCGCCAAAACTTTCATGAGGTAGCACCTGCACAGTAAGTTCAGATCGAAGCAGGGAGGAAAGAAGTAAAAAACCAACCTACTATATGACATTCATCTGCTGTTTAATGGTAGGTATTGAATATATCCATAGGGTCGTATCAATACGTTCAGTCACGGAAGAAGTAGATCTGGCCACTAGAGCAAGGAGTTTGTTGATCTAAAGTACCCAATTCCCACTTGTGCGTATTATCAGAGACAGTCGCAGACAAGGGCAGTGGCGATTTTCGAGCCACTGCGGCGATGAGCCATCATCGCACTTTTTACAAACCTCAGCGGTGATCGTGAGAACTGTCAGTCACAGTACACATGTGTTCCAACGGCAGTCACGTACTACAAATGCTGTAGTCCTTGTCCCTTCACTGCCCATATCTGGGACTGCCTCTGATGATGTGTTCGAGCGAGAGTCCGAAGCGTCAGGTCAATAAACTTTTTGTTCCAGTGATCGCATCTTCGTCTTTTGAACTCTATTCATGGAGCTCGTTTGTTCGCTTCTGTTGACGGCCAATCAAACCTGTTTAGCAGCATCGGGAAAAATAGAAAAGTGTGGCGTAATTGGACTTGGTATAACCTAAAGCGTAATCAACTTCTCTTTTGGTGATAGAAAATAAGAAAGTGACATTAGTGCCGTTATCGAAGCAACATTTTCAAAATCAAATTGGCTCCAACCAGAAGTTCTCTTGATTTACATTTGACAACGGTCTTTTCACTGTTGCAAACCGAACACATTCGACTTCTCATGCTCATTCCTAACTCAACGGACGTGACTGTCAGGAAAATGGGCCGAATTGTGCTATTTATCGGAGTGTTCAACCATGATCAAGGCGGTTATTTTTTCTCTCGAAAATCAATTATCTGGAAAAAGCCATTTTTTAAAAAGCGGAGACTTCATTAGCCAACATCTCATAACGGTTACTCAAACAGAATTCAAAAACTATGCTGAAAAGCACAACCGGTATCCGTACATGCAAACGTTATTTTAATAGGCCCTCTTGTGGTTTGCATATTTTGTCTCCAATAGAAGACATTACCATCTTCAATGGATTCTGTAGGGATTGCCGAAGTGGTGACCTTATTGTCTTGTTTAGCAGAGGAATCCCCGTCATCTCCTTCATCATCTGAATTGATAACGATTGCTTCTGAGAAAATATCAGCAGAGGTGCTGAAGGCAGGTTTAGATTCGCTTAAACCTGGATTGCGAAAAAATATGAAAAAGTGGATATTCCATAAATCAAAGCATGGCAAATGTTTTCTCGTAAATTGAGCATAATTTTGCCAAAATATACGTTAAGTACCACTTTTCAAGGAAGCGTACAAGGATACACTCTGCTCGGCAGTTAATTTTAGCAGCATATTCGATACAACGAGTGCCACGTTTTCGCCTATATGTCAATGCCTTCGAAAAAGACCGGAACATGAGTTGTAAAATATACTTATCACAATAAGTAGGACTGTGGTCTCTTATTCAACTCGGTAAACAATAACCTGATAAAAGAAATTAAAAATCCAGAACTGGCCATTTTGCCTGATAATTTGCTGTCTCCTGCCGATTTTTTTTAATCTTTAGGGCTATGTTAATTTGTGTCTTATTAAAGAAAGCAGGAAATTACTATTCGCTACCGTAATTGGTTAATAATATCCGTGATTGACCTTTTGCAATTTAAGGGAAAGAAGGATGTCGTATAGCTGGTAACTTTGACGATAAACATTTTCACTTTCTTTATGAAAATTCTCTTCGAGACCACAAAACAAACAGTGCAAAACTTGCAAAAATATATATACAGTAAGTGAGCTAACTCATAAAATGTCAACTGGAATTCCGAAATGCGGTTTCATTTCGAAAAGATTAACTAAATAGTGTCGTAAAACCAATGTGCCAGCAGCATATTTCGATAATAATTCAGTTACCACAGGATGTCATCTTTAAAACGAACTTCCTTCTGGCTGCATGCAAAAACTACACTGTGTAAAAAATGACTATTGATTAGCATGAATTTTTCTCATTGATTTTCGATGTTCCTAAAAGTCCAATTATATTTCATGGAAAATATGAATAAATATTTTCATTCTTGCGCTTATGCGGTAAAAAAATAAATCTTCCTTCCATCTTATACTCAAAGGGGGGATATAATTTGGTTTTCAAAACTTTTCCAGTTTCCGAATAAGTAGGAAACCGTCCTGCCTTTATACTAGAATTCAGGGTTTCCAAACTACAAGCCGTATACTTTCGCGTACGGAGAACCATACGTTTCTCTAATGTATTAAGAGGAGGCCGTGTAGGGTTCATAAAATGTGCAATGGGATTTGTTTCCTATTGTTAACTTTACAAACCACATTGGTAAATGCAGAGACATGACGATTTACGAACGGTTATTTCACAGTATTTAAAAGACTCACAATTAGAAACTTATTGAAAACCGAACTATGCCTCTCCTTTGAGCAAAAGATTGAAGGAAAACTTGATTTTCTGCCGAATTTGCGAAAGGTTGAATATTTTTATGCACGTTCTCTATGAAATACCATAGGGCTTTTAGAGTCATCGAAAATCAATGAGAAAAATGCATGCTAATCAATAGTCATTTTTTACACAGTTTAGTTTTTGCATGCAGCTAGAAAAGAAAGTTTGTTCCAAAGCCGGCATCCTGTGGTAAATGAATTATTAGAGAATTTTTTGCAGGTTAATTATTTTTACAATACTACTTAGTTAATCTTTTCGAAACGAAAACGCATTTCGGAGTTTCGGCTGACATTTCATGAGTAAGCCCATCTACTGTATAAATGCACACATTTAGTGTTGCTTAATAATTAGGAGAAAAAAGTCTCGTGCGTGTCTCACTGCGTCATCGTAATAAGATGTGCAGTATCTGCACACGGCCTATCAAATGCTATACGCCCTGCACATGAGGAGGCCTGGAACTTCCAGCTGGGTGCAAGTTGAGGTGTTCTATTTGATCAATAAAAGCTCAATCGCCTTTTCGGCACTAAAATTGGCAAGTGCTTTCCAATCCATCATTGCATAATGCTGTATCATAAGCTTAACAGTGGACGTGAACATGAATTAGGGAAGAATGTAAAGGCTAGTTAGTAGATTCACGCAAATTTTAAATTTTACTAATATCGACATAATTTAAGGGTATGGGGGAGCGCCAGGGTCAAACGTAGTCAAAACGTTACCTCACAAAAGCTCTAATTTGACAAGGTGAATGCACGTTTAGACTGAATTTTCACTTAGAAAGTCCGAATATCTAAGTCGACCAGGTTCCCGATTCCTTTAAGATCTCCGAGTTCGGACGATTCTGTCCGACGGTACCATGGTCTTTTCCAGTGTATCGTCGTTATTCACATCTACCCTGTCGAATGTGACAAAATTTATTGTAAACTTATATCGAGTCCATTGTGAGATAAACGGATTTTTCAAGGAAACCATATTTGACTTAACTGGGGAATCTTGTGTGCAGGGTAACGGGACTAGAATCAGCTTCCCAATATCCGGTTAATCTGTAGAAATTGTCATCCAGGAGTTAGGAGGAGATGTTTTTATTCATTTTGAGCCAGTATTTTGGCGTTGTTACATCGAAGGCATGCTTTTTATCGTCATGAAGAACAAACTGCAGAATTTCCGTAGCCGGATCAACTCATTCATCCTAGGCGTGCTATTTACTAAGGAAGAAGTGCCCTCCCTTGATGTGCTAGTAGGGCGAGGGCTATGGCTTGCAAGGGCGTGGTCTTCTTTATCTGACGTAAATGGTAATGTTCTCACGAACTAAGGAGTTACATCTCACAAGCCCTTAGCCTTAAAGGCAGCAAGTGAAACCGACCAGTGAATAATATAGAAATTCCGAAAGTTAAGTAACCTGACAACAGAGCGCGACAACTAAACAGGCCAACGAAGCGGGTAATACAGGTGTGTTATTTTTTCGTCACATTTAAACAAGCAATCAGGACAAAGAAAACCGGACTAAATTGTCAAAGGTAAATCAATTCGGTCTCCCACCACATGCCGTTCACATTTAGCGGCCATATAAGTCGTCCTTACCCAGGCCCGAAATTAACGCACACAGCAGCATCATGGAAAATGATGACCAATCAAGTCCCTGAGATTAGTTTGGTGCACATTACAGTATACTGCGCCCAAACCGTCCTTGTGATTACACAGGTCAGACTGAATAAATGCTATAATTGAGGACAAGCTGGATGTACTACGGGATGAGGAAGTATCACAAGCCGACGCTTGCAAATTCACGAGTTCACGGTTGCAGCTGCCGATACAATTGCGCGCACTGGAAACATGTGTGGTCGAGAATTCATCTATTCCGAGGTCTTGGATGTAAACTCTGTCAAGGGATGTTCTGATTTGGCGTCCACATAAGGAGCTTTGCACGGTCGCCCCGAGACATGGGGCACAGAGTTTCTATAACTGTCAATCACTCTGATGCTACCGTCGGCTTCGCTGTTGGACGTCTGCACGAGCTTTAAAGCGTGGAAAAGTGAGCACTACTTACCGTGATCAACCAGCCTCTTTATCATTTTTCGGCCCACATTTTGAGCAATTTTATTGTGATTCGCATAAAAAATCCCCCCATAGGGGTCATACCCTGTTCATCCGATTCCGATGGTCGCGCTGGACTGGTTTGATTCAAGCCTTCTTGGGATTGGGGTGTACTGTTCTCTGTCTTCGTTTCTGGTTTTTCGGTAGAATTGCTGTTATTCATTCTGGCATTTGAATCGGTGGTTAGCTCTTTCGCCAAGTTATTGACGGAGGCGTCGTGGACAACTTTAGGCCCACTCGAATTTGAATCTGTATAAAACGTTTAAAGCAGGATATTAAGGCCATCATTCTGACAATAGTATTTTGTGGACAACAGTCCCCACCGAATGCTACCGTTATCGGTTGGTTATCTAAGAAACTAAAGAGATGAGCATATTTTTCATCCGAAAGTGCCCTGACCAAGGAAATGTCTAGCGAAGAGGATTTGAATGTTCGAAGAAGGGAGATTATAGGGTGGAGTTAGAATTCCTGTTTGGCATTCACTCATTATGATTACTATGACAAACATAGATAAAACCATTGGGTGTCGCATGAATGGCACCGAACGCTGAACGGTTTCTTACGAAAAAAAAGTTTAGGTCATTAAGATGGTGGTATTTTGCTGCCTGATATATGCATTGGCAGATTCTTCGTGCCTAAATAGGCTAAGTAACCGTATATTATTATATCGACACTACAAATAAGAGGTGATTTCAGTTTGCACAAGGTCCCATTGCATGTGCCGCAAAAGATTACCGTTTTTACTGATTTTTCTCTATATCACGGGGAGTTAATCCGTTAATTAGATTTTTCCAAGGTACGGTCAATATATAAATCAGGATTCGTTGTACTCAAAGCACAGCCAAACCCCATAACCAGCACAATTTGTCATGAGCCCTTGGAATATAAAGCGCGCTTTATTCGAAACGGTGTAAAATGACACGGCAGATGACGAAATACCGAGCCCTCGGAAAGTCTAGCTGGAAAATTCCACGGAAGGAGGATGAGTCCAAACACTGTTCATTTTTGAATATTATGTTTTTTGTGAGCATGTGAACACAAGAACTGTTCATGTTTACTGAAAAGGCACTGATTCCAAACGAAGGATAAACGAAGCACAATTGCCTCAGTTAAAACAATCAGAACATTTGGATTCACGGTAAGATGTGGTTATGTAGCGGCAACTGATATACACAATACTGTTAACCTACTTAGTTATTTTGAGTTGTTGGGATTACATTGGCATGGGGTTGCTGTGTTCTGTTGGCGGCCTCAATTCTTAGTTGTTGTGTCGGCCAAATACCAATGGTTCATTTTGACTTTCGGCCTGTTGTTTCCTTACAAATTTCGTGTTGAAGATTTCAGGGGTAGGGTTTAGGGCTGCGGTTAAGGTTAATCGTTAGGTATGGGTTGGGGCTAGGGGTTAGAGCTTGGGGTTAGTGTTAGGTATTAGTGTTAGGGTTAAGTGTTTAGGGCCAGCGTTATGGGCTAGGGATTATGGTATAGGATCAAGGTTAGAAGTTAGGGTCTGGGGCTGGAGTTAGGGACTAGGATTAGTGGTTGGGGTTATGGGTTAGGGAAACCATTTCTCAACCACTCAAATTACAAGCACGTATTCCCATTAACTTTTCTTTCGCATACAATTACCTGACATCGTCGCTTGTGCGTACCCCAGCCCCACCTGTAAAACTCCTTTTACCACCGGTTCCGTATTACAAGTGGCTGGTGTTTAATTAACTCAGGTTCTACATCTGACCGAATTCCCTGCTCGGTCATGTCCTTACCACGGAGGATATTCGTGAGCGCGTCTGCCCTCAGCCTTCACCGTCTAGCAGTTTCATTTTTGAGGGGAACTGAAGACAGAAACAGACACCTGAACCAAATATCTTTGCGCATTAACTCGACGATCGAGTGTTGGGGAATATTTACACTCTGCGCTGAATGCCTCGAGAATGCTATTAGTTTTAACCCAAGGCGTGCCCAGGACGCGCTGATTGACTCTGCACCTCACTGGACACTATTTTTACAGAATAGGCAAGGAGCTGGCAAGAAGTGATTACCTTCAGAACGGGTAGATACCTTCTGCAGGTCAACTTTCACCGTTGACCCGGCATCCCCTGTTACAGAAATAAGGGAGGTGGCATAGTACGTGTTGGGATCAAGGTTGCAAAGAAAACCCTCTCTTTCGGTTGCAGCGAATCGCATCTCCACGGTCTTGTTGCTGTTCACGGCGGTCCCTTGTAGTATAAAGTGCTTTAGTGCGGCTTCGTAGGGTGGGTCTCCCCATTTAAACTGAATGCAGGTTGATGTGATTTCAGTAATTTCAAATGAAGGAGTTGTCCGTCGTCTTCCTACTAGACCTGAAAAAATGCGAATAAAAAATAGCAAAGGACCCTGTAGGTGATTCTTAATTAGCAGTAAGATGATTGCTCAGAGGATGAAAACTAGGACCTGGACCCAATTCGCGGTAGAAACTGTGGTAATGTATCAGTAAAGTTTGAGTTTTCAGCACCGTCTAGTCAACAGTAATCCTAGTATATCAAAAGACATCGCACTAACTGAAATGCTGAGTTCAGCCCGAAATGTTTTTTATTGTTTCACTCTAAAATGCTTCCAGTTTTCTCTATTTTTAGGCTTGGCGTGCTGCCATCTTGATACGTAGACTGGAATTTACCGTAGACAGCAGGTTTATCTAAATTAAAAATAATTGCCGTTTATCATATTAAAGGGCAGGTAAAACAAATGTAATTTCGGCCAAACTGAAAAATAAAAAGACAACTTTATTTTGTTAGCGGTGAGCGACGGGCTGCCCTGATAGCAAGAGATGCGTCGAGTATGATAAGGTTTTACAAATGGCTGCCTTTCGAGCGGGTTTGACCGACAAGGCTCCCTTGTCAATGCTTGCTCAGTAAAGAAGAAAGCTGAAAAATGAATTCATAGATGTTTTGGCAGATTTTGAATAATTCATATTGATCCAACTGTAAAGAACTCGATACCTCGGTGGGATTCGAACCCACGCAGTAAGAGGAAGGCTTTCGTACAGCCAACGCTCTAAGCACCTGAGCTACGAGGCCCGACCGGACGACTCGAGTTTAATCACATTTGGGTCAAGTTACCCGCCCAACTTACTGCAACGTCTGGAATCCACCAAATCTGATACAGTAAGATGACTGCCCAAGCAGGTGGTTAGAGCGCTGGCTGTACTAAAGCCTTCCCCTTACTGTGTGGGTTCGAATCCCACCGAGACACCGAGTTTTTCACAGTTGGGTCAATATGAAATATGAATGACAAGTATCCGCGTTTATGTAAATATAAGGGATGGGGGATTAGAATGCATTTCATGGCGTTTACTATAAAGTAAGACTCTCGGTGTGTCAATCAGGCAGCTTATGTCAGACGGCGGCTTAGCAGCCGTACGCGTAGGAAGGAAACAATGACGGATAAAACGCAAAGCCTAGAAGTGCACCAAATGACATGCTTGCTTTTCTCTTCAATAAAGCGAAGCAGGCAAATATATCCACCAGCCGTTCTATCCACTTCACACAGGAACTTAAACCAATAATGCAGGACGGCCAAAACAGCGAAGGAAATGAATGGGGGGGAGGGGGAGTTAAATGAAAGGATTTTCACTCATCGATTTTCTCGTAGACGTATACAGACACATGATGTTTATGGTCATGTTGTTTGAACTGGCCACTCCGACCGAGATCTCATGGATAGGTTAAATTTATTAGAATACAGTTGGTGACTTATCACATGAAACCCGATGATAGAAACTCATGGGAGAATTGTTGAACGTCTCACACTGAGTATTTTGCCCGCGTTTCCAGTCTTTCAAGGAAATGTTCTTTTCTTGTGCATATAACGTGTCTTGGCAATTTTTTCAGGCGAAGTGAGCATAAATTTGAGCGGAAGTGAGCGTTGCAATATATTTGGGCGATTTCCTATGTTGATACCTATCGTTGACTTCGGCTGCGCAGCTGCGAATGTTTTCCTTCGAACGGAGGGTAACTAATTCTCAAGAAATGCGAGTTTTTACGCTTGTGGTGGCATAATGTCAGCATTTTTAGCAAGGTGGAAGAAATGGCTAAAAGTTTGACATATTATTTTCGGTTTCGACGCGTAAAAATTAAAGTACGTGGACATTAGCCAACGGAAAGCGGTCTTAAAATGTTCCTTAAATAGTTTACTTATTAAAGGAGATTTTCTAACTGATCGAAAGCAAATTCGTTGCTGATATTTTTACGGGCGTTTATTTTATTCGACGATATGGTTCCACGTTTGGGTGCGTCTTAAAATGTAACCCAAGCGATCTTCTATATGTGAAGAACGCCTGTACATTCGCCACTTCGGCAAATGCCTTCAAGAAATATCTTATTCTCAAGGTTTTAGCAAAGACAATTTTGAATCTGACTTTTTGGGCAATCGATTGAAAACACTGAAAATCATGAAGTGTTCGGCAATATTTGAATGCTGATCTTAAATTCTGCGTGATCCAGAACAAGCACAAGATGCAGACTAATTTAACGCAAGAGTATTTCTCATTATATACGCAAAATGATTTGTTCACGATTACACCCGTCAACTCTTTTCGCATTTACTGGTCACTGAACCGCTTGAAAACATGTGCCTTTATGAAACGTTTTGTTGCTATGACGCGCCTATCAGCGCGATCAAGTAAAATCCTGTTTGCTTATTAAACTGCATCCTACAATTAATACCCGGGAAACAGTTTTGGAATCTTTACTCTGAATGCAGACTGCTGGAAAGCCGCAATACCCGAAATTACACGTATTCTCAAGGAGCACCTAGATGTAAACTTCACCAAAAGATTATTTTCAGGGACTACTCTATTTGCGCTGTCATATTTACTCAGGGTTTTGCATGGAGAGGCATTCTCTGCACATACAGTTATGGTTTACCTAACAAGAACTATTTCTGACATTTTGGAGATTCTCCGGTTTTTTGAATAAATGGGTTATTATCAAAAACTTAGCATCACCTTTAATATTACTTTTATGTTTTCATTCTCTTGAAGTTGTCATTTATTAACATAGATATTTGGTTCGTGCATGGGTGTCGGTTTGATAGTAATTAGCAAGCATTCGTAAATTTGGACAGGTTTCCTGAGTTAGGTAGCCTAATATAGGTCTGAATGCTCTTCGTATGTCCACTCATTAGATGGCAGAACATGCGTGGTCTGTTCTGGTAGGATACTTCCCGTCATACCAGACACCACGTCCAACTGTCTCAACAGTAGGTTTGACACAGACGTGTGCTTGGCAGAACGCGTCAGATAAGCCAATTCGCATCGGCTTTTGGACATACCGTGCAGTAGGTAGTCTGCCGACGAAAATGTACGACTGTGATTGAAGTAATACTCTCTGTGCAGCACTATCGATCAAGCACGCTACGAGACTCTTCAATGAAATTTGGTACTGAGAAGTTAGATCTCAGGTAGCCTGTGACATGCGTAATCTGACTACTCAGCTCTGTCTGAAATCGGGCCCACAACCAGCTCCATGAGAGACAAATTCACGCACAAGTCTCTGGTGCGCTCTCACCCCCGAAGTGGACCCTCACCTTCGTTATAATTGGAGAGTCTTCGCTTAAAAAGACCATGAAACTTGGACCTTCGTGCCCGACGATGTCCACCGTGTGCAAGATGAGAGCAGGGACGGTGACTTTCGCGTGAATTAGCTCATGGCGAGGGTAGACTTGCGCAAGAGCTACCTCACACTCTCCTCCTCGCCACATTGGTCCAGGTCGTTTGTTAATGCCCGAATATTCTGAAAGTAAGTCATTTTTAACTCGTCTAGTCTTTACACAGTCCATAGCAAATTTGCCTTAACGCCAGTCTATCTGCATGGGAACTTCATGATACCTATGGGTCATTGCCTTAGGAAGAGACGCGTGTTAGGAGGACTTACCCTGGAATGACGGTTGCACCAGCAACAAAAGCCAACACAGTAGAAGCGCTTTCCACCTGATACGAAAATTGCACAGTGAGTACACACTGAAGTTCATATTTTCTGTATTAAAATTTTCCTTTGATATTTCTTTGCTTTTTAACTGCCGTCAGGAGCCAAAATGTTATTTACTGCGTCTGCGGCAATGGAAAGCGGGAGGAGTACTTTGAGGTTTCAATGGCAGTTATATTTTTAAGCTGGCAACCCCAATTCTTATAGGTGGAGACGGTGACTCGCGCATAAATGCTCATTTTGTTTGCAGTCGACATGCACATTAGCTAATTTAGTTGGTCAACAGGACGCTATGAGTGCAAGACAAGATGTATGGCTTGTACAAATTCTGCACAATTATCCCTGCTCGCACTCAACGGTAGTCTTATTGGCGTAACCTGCGTTTTTTAGAAGACGCTGCCTTACGGAGGAGAAAGTCAGTTGAGTGGAAGATAAGCGAAGTAAGCATCTTTGACTTCACTTTTGAAACGTTGGTCTAATATTGCATCATCTAGCAAAGTCAGTTTACATTGCATGGGGATGACGTCCGATGCATTTTAAAGAGTGCCGAATGAGCAAGCCGAGAGAAAACATAAGAGGGAGTAGACATTTAAGAGTTCAAGCGTCAGTCTGATTTGAATGTTTAAAAGAAATGCCGTCATGTCTGTGAACAATATGTGTATTCACTCACTCATCTTTAACTTTTGCAGTTGTTCTGGGAATACGCGCTATTGTGGACACGGTCATTCTACTTCACCGCAGTTATTGTCCTTTGGTAGAGTAGGCGGGATAACTCATGAAATGTCAACCGAAATGCCGAAATGCGTTTTTATTTAAAAAAATAACCAAGTAGTTTTGTAAAAATAATCAGCCTGCAGCATAATTCTATAATAATTCGGTTACCTCAGGGTGTCGGCTTTTTAACGAACTTCCTTCCGGATGCATAGAAAAACTATACTGTAAAAAATGACCATTTAAGTAGCATGCATTTATCTCATTGATTTTGAATGCCTCTAAAAGTCTCATTATATTTCATGGAAAACATGCATAAAAATAATCATTCTTTTGCTCATTCGGTAGAAAGTTACATCGTCTATTTCTACACTCGAAGGAAGGGTATTATTCGGTTTTCAAAAACGTTTCCAATTTCCAAATAATTTTGAACCCGCTCTGCCGTCACAATTGCGTTCAGGCTTTCCAAACTACAAGCCGTGTATTTTCCGCTTATGGAGAACCACAAAGTTCTCTAAGCTATTAAGAGCAGACCATATTGGGTTCGTAAAATTTAGCATTAGATTTGATCCTTATTGTTAACTTTACAAGCCACATGGGTAAATGCAGAGACATGACGTTTTATGAACGGTCATTTTACTATATTAAAATGTCTCACAATTAGAAACTTTTTCAAAGCCGAATTATGTCCCTCGGAGTAAAAGATTGGAAAAATATGTAATTATCTACCGAATGAGCAAATGAATGAATATTTTTATGCATGTTTTCCATGAAATATAAGTAAACTTTTAGAGACACCGGAAATTAATGAGAATAATGCATACTACTTACGTAGTCATTTTTACAGAGTATAGATTTGTATGCACCGAAAGGAAATTTGTTCAAAAGCCGGCATCCTGTAGTACCTAAATTATTATAGATTTTTTCTTCAAACTAATTAGTTTTACAACCCTGCATAATTTATCCTTTTGAAACGTAAACGCATTTCGGAATTTCAGTTGACAGTTCATGAGTTAGCCCAACTACCGCATTTAACCAAAAAATAAAATTTTCCTTTATTAGGGATGTAAAATATAACAATCATGATGCGGTTTTGCAGCAGTGTGCGTTTGATGATGAAAATACCTAATAATATAAGTTTATCATTATCTCATCAGCCAGCAGGTTTACATTAAGTTAAGTCCGTGAAAGTCTGTGCGATAGAACCAGCATCAAATAGGAGGGGTTGACTTTGGTGGACCTATTTTTAAAGTACCTAGGGACTTGACGATGTCTGCTTTGTGTACATAATCTTCAATATTCAAGACAGGGAACGCAGATAAGTCTTGTGCAACGCACCACAAGTTCGACAGGGTTGTCTGGACGAGCTGAGGTCACTTTCGCGCGGATCCCAGATGGGTATGGTGTGGTGACCGGTGTTCCCTCCCTTCCTAACGCTGGCATCGCTTCCACCACTCTCGCCGTCTGTTGGTCACTCGATTTTCTTATCGTCAGAATAACCCCTGGTCCTTACTCGTAATTTCCGACAGTGTCGCAATCCACACTGATAATACGAGATAATACCTGATAATACGTGACCACATCCAATTCCAAATGAATTATTTTTACAATACCTCGTTATGTTCTTATATACGCTATTCTCCAATCTTTCTACTCTATCCGCTTTTTTATCATAACCTAGACTTCTTACACTATAAACCCCTCTTTTTTATTACATCACTATATGCTTGTCTGATGTGGTGTCTAACGACTCTGTCCAGTGTTACATAACCGGATAGCCATACTAGGCGGCCTTTTCGACCGTGCTTTTGTGTTCTAACCTCTACGTCTTCCGCAGCTACGTTTTGGTACAATGACGTTGCAGTCATACTGATCGACGCTTAGGTTTTAAGGACAAAAAAGACTTTCTGAATAAAAGCGATAATGCAGACACAGTGATCTTACTTGAATGCAAAACCGACCACTGCAAATCGTTTCTCGTGTGGTCTCAATTATTTAACGGAGATAAAACCACTTCCTATGCTGCACTGTAATAGATTTGCTATCTCGCCCAATACTGACCGAAATTCTGAAATATGCTTGCAATTCGAAAAGATTTCTCAAGTAGGGTTGTAATATTAATCCTTATGCAGAATAAATCCCAAACCATTTGAGTCACCTTCAGATGCTGACTTTTGAATGAGCCTCTTTTCGATGTCCGCAAAAGATACACTCTGTAAAGCAAGACTTATAATGTACTATGATTTGTTTCCAATTGATTTTTTGTCCTGATAAATTAAAGTATATTATATGAAAAACGCGAGTAAAATTATTATTTTTTGCAGGGGGTTAATTGAAAATCACTTCTTCTTCATATTTAATGCTAAAGAGAGCGGATTTTTTGTTTTTAAATCTTCTTTGATTCCTGAATTTATTTTACTCCGCCTGCATTCACAATTTGGAAACTACATGCCGAATACATTCCGACAAAGGAATATCACATATTACTCCACGCCGTGAAAAAGAAATTGCTTAGGACACTTAACATTTTACAATGCATGTGGAACACTAGTAAATGTGCTGATGCGATGCTGTATGAAGGAATACTTCACTGGCTTAGAAAGTGTAGCCCCTAAAACTTTGGAGAAAGCACAATTTGCCACCAAAAGAGCACAGGAAAAACTTTTTTGTGCACGTTTTCTACAAAATATGACTGAGTTTATTTAGGCATCGAAACTCAATAAGAAAATGATACAAATTGAGCAGCCCTGTTTTACTGAGTGCGGCTTTTGAAAACCTCCGAAAAAAACTCACTCAAAGGTCAGCATCCCGGTGTAACTTAAATATCTTAGGATTATGCTACATGATAATGAATATTACAAATCGACGCACGGGATCTTTTTGGAGTGAAAACATATTTCAGAATTTTAGTTAACATTTCATGAAATAGCACATCCAGTAGATTTTAAAAAATAGAATGTAAAAGGGGGTAGTTTAGCAGATAAGTCAAAAAGACTTTATTATCAGGCCAAATCCCCGCAGTGAAATACAGAGAAAGCGGAGAAAGCCTGTACGACAAAACTAGCCACAAAAGGGTAGGTGAAAAGAGCACGTCGCTACTTTTCCATTTCAATTTTAGAAAGCAATAACCTTGCCTAAATGACTTGTGTTGAATAAAGTGCATGAGTTAAGATTACAGGATAACTGTACACCTCAAGACTGATATCTTAACTGAATAAACATGGCCAATAGACATATTGACGTTTGCTCCGTCTGACAACATTAGCACTTTGAGCATTCATTCCCTTTGCACAGAATTGCAGCCGCAACGGCTGTTTCGCCGTTTTACTCCGCCACCACGCCAGTTCGCCAACTGAAAACACAGTTAGCTTGTATTTGGAAATCCTTGTCGTCAAGCATATGTCATGTCCTTCAGTAGTGGAAAATTCGAAAGCCTAAAGTAAGTATACAAACGCGATCTGTATTCAACTTCAAGATCTAAATCCCTTCATTCGCAAAATGAAACGAAATACTATCGATCTTTACTGAGAAATTTAAAATTTCTGTCCGAGTCTATAAGCCTCAAATAGACTAATTTACTTTAAGTACACGATTAATTTGTGAGAAAATTAAAAATCTGCAATTTCAAAAGTGGATTATCCACCAGACAGCACCCGGGAACGCTAGGGTACCCACAGATGACCCGAACACCTCGCAGCTGCGCCATGCAGCGGCAGATCGGCAAAACACGCATGTCTTGGCATCTGGCTGTTGCCTGTCCTGTCAGTACTGAGACTTCGCCTAGGCGGAGTAATTAGCCGCACGGAAGCGCACAGGTGAGCACTTTCGCAGCACCAAGCTCGGTGGATCAGATGGTCGAACAATCATCACACTAACATCCAACGCACGTGATGAGATTTCGCTACTAACGATGCGAATGTCGGTCATAAAACGGTCATCACACCCAGTGCAACAATCCCTGATAAAGGGGGGACGAGGGCCGTGAATATTCATAGGTATGCGATAGCATGACGAGTACATCCTATAAATACTGCCGCCCCTTGTGCATGAACCACCCGTATCTGCTCTTACCTCTGATGAGGGGTTCAAGCATGAATCCAAAACGTCAGGCTAATAATGTTCCTGTCCCAGCTATCGCACGTCCTTCTTCAAGACTGCTTCCTGGGACTCGTCTCTTCGCTTATATTAGCAGTATTCCAGGTCGTTCAGTGGAGCATTAAATTAGCTTTTACGTATAAGTGAAAACTTCGAAAGCTTCCAGTAAGTGAGCAAACTCGACCTGCGATCAGTAGCACATGCCTGCTCCAGCACTATGTCCGACTTTGTTCAATGTAA